ATATATTTTTACCATATGTCCTAAAGGCTTATTTAAATGCCTCTGGTGTTTAATAACACCTTTGAAAGTCCTATGGGTCATATAATTAGTATTAACTCAGAAAAAGGGAAACTGTTTTATGGAAGAAATAACAAACTCAGATACCTACAGTAGGTAGTCACGTTATCAATAAGAGAAAGAGAGAAGACGTTAGACTATTAAGGAGCCGTGAGGCCTGCAGCAACCTGCAGAGAATTCATACCTTTTCTAAAGAAAAACCCCTTACTTAGTTTCAACTGCTGTTGCTAGTGAGAATCTTAGGGAATCAGACATTGAAGACTGTCTGAAGAATCCTCCGCCCTGGAAATGACCAGAAGTGGCCAGAAGGCTGAGAGGCCCTCTTGCATTCTGTCTCTCGTGCCACACACCTGCTGACATTTGTTTAGCATGATGCCCTCCACTGTGCTGCATGGAACTCTGACATGGTCCCTTCCTCAAGACCTATAGCCTGCACCAGGGTAGAGGTGCAGGAGGAGGCACCCCCAGTTCCTCTCATGGCAAAATAAGTTCTCAGGCTAGTGTGTGGTGCAGCAGGCCCTGGCAAATGCCATCCAGCCAGGCATGATGTTCAAAGTTATGATTTCATGTTTCCACTTTTGTTTCTTTAAATCAGGGAAACTCTAGGTTCAGGCTAAGTCTTGTGCAGAGCCCCAGTATAGACGTAGATATTTACTGAAAGTTTGTTATTTGTCTCTAGTGGGTCATCCCTATAAGTCCCACTCAGAGATAAGCAAACTACAACCTTTCTCACCCCCACCCTAGGCCAAACCCAACCCTTCCTCCAGCCCACAGATAAGGTGTTAGACCAGGGGAGAATCACCTCCAGAAAGCCAGTCCACGGGTTGCTCTGTGGCATCTCCTTGGAATCCTCAAGCTCTAAGGAACCCAGATTGAAAGCCCCTGACTACAGAAACTATAGTATCACCAGTGAACACTGTTTTTGCAATGGCGCTACATGTCACTTAAGCTACAGTGCTCCCTGAGGGCTTTGCTGTCACTGTCACCACTAGGCCTGTGAGGAAACTGAGGCTCCTAAAGTTAAGGAACCAGGGCAGAAAAGCATGAGGCAATGTGGAGCAACCACCTGGGCCCTGAAGCCACCTGGCTCAGGGATTCGTCCCCCAAATGGGCCACACAAGATGATTTCAGGTGAAGTATTCATTATGAAGTGAATGTTCAAACACATGCTTGTTTTTTAAAAAGATGCAAATTTACTATTTGACAGGGATTCTTAGCCTAGAATGAGTTTTCCTCCACCCCCACAGGGACTTTTGGCGATATCTGGAAACATACTTGGCTGTCATAACCGGAGGAGGGTGCTACCGGCATTAGTGGTGGAGCGGCTGAGAATGCTGCT